AGTTTCTGAAAAACTGGTTTTCCAGAAAACCAGGTCTTCAAGAGTCAAGGGGATGAATCCTTTTAGAGTTTTTATCTACACCATGAGTCCTACCTATGAGCAGAGTATGAGCTCAAACAGAGGGTATCAGTTGGTGAGGTTCCCTCGTGAGTGTGGTTTAGGAGCGTTCCTGCTGGTCAAAATGTATTCGGACCTGGTTTCCGTTGTTCTATCGTTTTTCCTATGTTTTACCGGCACGTACTTCGGTATGTAAGTTACATACAGCTATGAGAGTGATGGATTTTAAACTGCGCAATAGTATAGGATACTGCAATATGAGAGGAAAAACGGAAAATTGAGTATGAAACTTCTATCAAGAACATCAGGAGATTTTTAAAAAAATCTATATTTATTTTCAGTTCTTCCGATATATAACTTATATCATCATCAATCAGTGTGCGAAATATAGGAAAAAACAGCGAAGTTGATTTTAGTAGTTCTTCTGCAAAGATCAACTTCGTGTTCGATCCTGGCTTCGTGCAAGAATTGATTTTGTGTTTTAGTAGTTTAAGTTTCAGAATGATATAATGGGACTTTATATTCTCAATTTCATTCTGGTTCAAGATTATCAATGTGAGATAATGTTCAAGTGGTAATGTTTTTTATTTTTCTGTATTGTGTTCGTGCTCTTGGCTTTTTTTCGGAGGATTTTCTTTCCGAAACGCGTAATGACCCATCTAAGACAAACATGGCGAACAAGATCTACTAGTTTCGTTCTGACAACTCTCTCATAAAATTTAAATAACAGGTTTTCCGCGCTGAGCATATTTTTAAAGTCCCAAGAAGTAGGTAACTGTATAGTTTTGAACTGTAGGCCACAGGAGAATATTTTTTAATTGAAAGAAAATTTTTTTTCGAATTTCACGTTTTTAAATTTCTATTGACATTTGAAACATAATAAAGCAGTATTGAGCAAAATAATATAATCTATTTCTAAGTTAAAAAACCAAATGTACCTGTTCTGTGTCTTACTCTCACGTTATGTGGCATTTATCCCTCGATTCCATTGTTGAGAAAATCTAATGTCTAAAGAAATAATAGTCAAATATAAGCTTTCAAAACTCTCCTCAGTTTGGAAAGTTAAAATTTTCGAACAAAAGTACCGTACTACGAAACTTTCTAGACCGAGTTTTCTCTTCATTTCACCTCTTAATATTCAACTTTTATTAATTATTCTAAAGAATAACGTTTATCTGAGATGTTTAATATGAGATGAAATATAATCATAATGCACATGAAGAAAACAATATTTTATTGATACGTACTAAATCTGATCCGTTGAGATATTTATAGATGCTTTCACAACACTTGTGAATATATATGACAGCTTCCTTCGTTATTTACTAGATCTTAGGAGATCGAAAGAACCTCCAAATGAAGGATCTCCTTCCTTCCAGCAGAGGAAGATAATTACTGTAGAGGATGTATTCTCAGTGACCCTAGACAAACATTTTTCCTTATGTCTGACAAGAATCTTATCCGAGTCTTATCAGATTCTTATATAAGAAGTCCGCACGAAAATGGCAAGATTTGAGTGTTATTTTTCTAAGATGTGAAATCAATGTTACCGCATTTTGATATGCAAAACAAAACGAAAAGTTACGTACTTAGGCCCTGGTGTTGTTGTTGTTTGATCAAGATTTGTACTGTAAAATACTTGATTTATTTTTCCTTGAACTTTTCATTTATCACCTGGTGTAGAACGCTATCATTAGCTGTTTTTTCGCACTGAACGGATTCAGCATCCGAAGCCATCAGTAAATTGACTTCATACTCTATATATAGTAACAACAGTAATTCAGGTTCTCCTCATTCTCACATTAACGGGGCTACTGAACTTTACTACAAACAATAGATTAAGAAAAACTTTAGCCATGATCAGAAGTCACACAAAAGAAGATTCGGCTAAGAGAAGAAGAGGTCATCCAAAGCCATATATTCTTGTGGAAAGGCAGATTCTACTTTGATCTGAGTTAACATGAAGTTCAGCGGAATTTAACGACTTCCTTTCTTCGTAGAAATCGTAATTTCTAACAATTTCGAATCAGCTAAATTTTGATTTCCAGCTGCGATCAATGAACTCGACTTTAAGTAGCTAAGCTGGAGAGATATTTGCTTAAGGACCCCACTAGGGGTGGCACTTTCTCGTTCCTTTCCTGAGTAACGATAAAGTGGTATCTTTTATTTCAAAAGTAAAGAGGAAAGATACAATGTATATCTTTTTCTTTCCTAAGAAAAAGGAAAGTGGCACCTTTTCTTTTCCGAAAGAAAGAAAAGCAATATCTTTTCTTTTTGCAAGAAAAAGACTTTCGTAAAAGGTGCAAAAAAAAGTCTTTTTCTTACAAAAAGAAAAGATATTGCTTTTCTTTCTTCTGGAAAAGAAAAGGTGCCAGTTTCCTTTTTCTTAGGAAAGAAAATATATGCATTATATCTTTACTCTTTTTTGTTGTACAGAAAAAGAAAAACTTTTCTTTTGTTAATAAAAAAGGAGGTAGGAAAGAGAAAGTGCCACCCCTAGACCCCACTCCCTCAGAAATGGTGATTTTCGGTCAAAAAACGATTTTAAGATAAGCACATGAAAAGATAGCCTGAAGTGTCTACTTTCAGAACCTGTACCGTTTTCGGCTATACAAGTGATTTTCGCGGTTTTCGAGCAAGCTTTCTAGGAGCCTCGAAAAACCGTGTCTTCAAATAATAGCTTTTTCCTGGATAGTTACACACTTAAAGTCTTTTGTCAACGCGCATATTTGTAGAGAAAACTTTTGTGACCAAAATAAGACCTTGCACAGCTCTGTATGACCTTGCGTCAAAACGTTACAAGAGTTTTTCTAGAAGTTCTAAAATTGAGCTTTTTATACAGCTTATAATACAGTGTTATCTCTACATGCGAGTTACACCCGAAGTATTTCCAAGATTTTTTAATATACTTCACGCTAGACAGTTCGTTCTTTTTTTGTTTAAAAGAGGTAAAGAAACTACATGGACTGACTGGCGTGGATTTTTGAATTAGGAGTTTTAGTTTTTTGTCAAATTGAGGATTTTCAGAAAACCTGGAAAGATTTTTGGGGTTTTGGAGGTTGTTGGTTGCCGGGAAAACCAATTAAGGCTTAATTGAAAAATCGGTGCCGGTTAGTCCATGTGGTTAGGTGTCTAGTTTAAAATAAAAACAAATCCGAACTCTCCGGCTTGAAGTATATTATAAATATTGGGAAATACTTCAGGGAACTGAGAACTGCTTCCTTTCCAAGGAAGACCCAGAAGCTAGTGACTGACATCTATTCAGATATACACAATAATAGCAGAAAGCGTTGGAAACATGCAGTGAAAAGAGAATAAAGCCTAGAACCCGGCATCAGTTCCAATGATTTCCTTAGCGGTTACACCACTGAAAAATACATACTGCCGGCAGTTGCATTCGAACTATTCACAGGTATCAATGTTGATGCTATTTGTGGATTTGGTTGACCCGTGCCAATATAGCGTGAAGCTATTAAACACAGAGAACAATCAAGTATGCTTTTCGTTGCGAATTCTTCACTTCAGCCCTCCTCCCATGTAGAAATCTATCTAGGTAATCATAAGTCTGGTCTTGACAAAAGTTTCAAGGACTGCTGGTTACGTCGAAATATGATGACGAAATTTTTTTCGTTCATGAGAGTGGCCAAAACGCTCTTTGTATTTATCGAAATTTCTCTTCCAGGAGGGACAGAGCCAGATTTGTGGATATTTCTGTTATTAATTTTGATGTTATTCAAGTGTTAGAATTCAAATATCTCAGAATTCATGTAAGAGGTTTCGAAGATCCTACTTTGTATTGACAACTAGGTTAAAACTTAAAAACCGTGCTCTATCAATCAGTATTCGTATGTGTTAGATTCCTTTTGAAACCACACAGAGCTCAACATCATCTTCATAAACGAAGATTCTTGCAAGCAGCCCGATGAAAACATCGGAGAAGGCGAGGGCTTCTGAAAGAAAGCGTTGTTCGTTTATTGGTGTTATTTACAGATCCACACCGCAACTATACAATCTATGCTTCTGGTCAGCGTCTCTGGTGCTGATTTCAAGTGATCCTAGCATGAACAGTACTCTGCAAAAACTGACTAATGAATCAAAATTGCCATCAAGCGAATCTGTCCATTGAAAGAAGGCCCCCAAAGCCATAGGTTTCTGGAATTTTCTTAGTTCAAGGAGTTTTAAATCTTTTTCGAGTCCAGTGTTTGAATGAGCATAGTGTTAAGTACCAAGTTCCAAGCTGTTTGGTATGGGCGATATCGAGATAGTTTTCTGATGAAATACGCCTGCAGCTCAAGAAGAATGATAAACAAATGACCTTTTAGTACAAATGCATACTTGATAAACGTTTATACATATGAACTGCATTAACAATAGCACCGACACATCCTTCAAACTCAATAAGATTGTTATTTTTACTTTCTCTTCTCTCTACCGCTTAATGTTTTTTTGTTCTTTTTCATTGAGATCTCTAATGTTTAATCGCCTTAGACTCACTTGAATAAATTAGATTACATCAAACTCCTCTTCGACTATTTTTTGCTAAAGAGAAGCTTCGACATCCCAACGAAATCTTCGAATAAACTGCTAAACAACATCCGCGGCCTCTTTATAGTGAAGAGTAAGTGGGGATAAATATAATCTCGTTGAATAGATCATCTTTAAAGCCCTTGTTGTAGGACACAGCCTTCAGGAAGTCTTCAGCACAGTTTCGTCAGACTTTCAGCTCTGTGACGGACAAAATATAAACATTATTCAATTTTTCTAAAGTAAGTTACGTCACAATCCTTACAGTTCAGAGGGAAAGACTTTGACCATACAAAATTAACTCTAAAGTGGCTTGACTCAAGCAGTGTGGTTTTTCAATAGGCGTTACTGACTCACATCGCTATGTTTATGTTGGAAGATAGAGCATCAAGGCTCAAGGCAGCTGGTACTCTCGAGTGTCAACTTGTGGTATTACAAGCACGATCTTTCGACATTTTTTCATTAAAACTTATGTACTTACAGAATATATTGGAGAAAACTGGCTTTGTTAAATGTAACAATGTAATTGACGGTGAGTCGAGTGATGGTCCAATCCTGACTCCTTTTACAATAATTCCTAGTGTTCCTTGTACATAAATATCAAAATTAATTGACAGAACTCCAGTAGTATCATAAACGGATTTATTTTGTGTATTTTGCGCAATTGTAATATCATAAGATATATGCGGATTTAATGCCAACGTACCGGTTAAAATAAATTCCAATGTTATGCTTAAAGCTACTGGAAAACCAAGTGATATCTGACAATCCAAACAGTCTGTTGGGGTTGGTTTGTGGAATTCTGATTTAGCAGGTGGGAAGTCAGTGTAAGCGATTAGACATAAAAGACATCCGCTTGGGTTGGACATCGAACAACACTCTTTCGCTTTTCCATCGCACCGCTTTATGAGTTTATGCCTATTCCTAAATTATTGTCATTTTTCTGCCTTTAAGTTCACTAAGTTGAGAAGTGTTTTTCATTGATGTTGTTTAACATTGATCAGAAACATTTCGGTATATTACGGAAACTATTACGAGCAGCAGAGGCAGGTATGCAATAACCTTTTCTCCAATTGATTCTTTATTTAAGGTGAAAATTGCTCTATCGTCTACCACTTAGAGAGTCCGAATTGAATGCCACCTTTCTTTTTTAGAAGAAAAAAGATCGAAAGCTTTGTATTTTGCTTGAGATTAGTCGGAAAAGTGGAATTTATGCAAACATGCGAGATATCTTGCTCATTATTTTCTTTGTATGTAATTTAATTTTTTCGAACTTTATTCTCGTCCTGCAGTGTATCCGGAAGAAACGAATCGATGATTTGTCTCTGTTGACCGGATTGGGCGGATAAACAGAATGTCAGTTAGTGATTGAACGACCACTTGAGTATTTCATCATATTCACTCCGCATAATGAGAAGAAAAGGCGACATGTGTGTTCTGCTTGCATTACTATCACCATATAAATAAAGACGAATAGAACGATGGTGAATAATGAATGTTTGCCTTCCCGATTGAGCATCAACCATTTTCTGTAAAACATCGGCGATCTTCTATGTCAGTGTTCGATCATACGATTTTGATTGTAAATTTTTGCCTTTTTGTTTCAGCATTTTATTTTCACAGAAGTAAGTCGTACAGAGGCCCACGACACCGATTATTTTTGGGGAAAAAACCAAGAAGAGACAAGAAGAACTATACATCAAAATTTTATTTACAACGAGCTTTTTTGCAAATATGCTGTAATTGTTTGTTTTGCTATGCCAATATCACTTGCAAGCTGTGCGTATTCGAAACGTTGTATAATCTTCTTCTGTTTATTTCAAAATTCAATAGCATGATTGCTACTACCATCGGCAAGAGTAGGAGACGAGACCAGATTGTGCAACATTGTATCAAGAAGACGGTAGTAAAAGAGTTTTATTCAGCACTAATGCAACATATTTTGCACCATTCGCTCAAAGAGTAAATCTTAACAAAAATGTCCTTCGAGTGCCAAAGAAGCTGTTTGTCTATCAACAATCTCAAAAGTACTTGAATGTAAGAAGGCGCCGAGTGCGTAACAAAAATTGTGTCAGTTCCTCTTGATAAAGCGGTGCAGACATGACGAAAATAAGCAGTGTCACCATAAATGGTACTAACGAAATAAAGTATCCAGTAAAATATACGCTAATGCATTCATTGAGATCAAATCACCCCTCACGACAACATTATTTGTTAATAAAATTATTATTAGTTACTTTATTATTATATAAAAAATAGAGACAGCCAGCGAGCCCTATAGGAAGGGATAAAAAAGATTTTTACTATCATTAATATTTACTAGATTTTTTAAAAAACAACAACTTTTTAAAAAACGCCTCTAAAAATATTTCTTTAAAAATATTTTAATTAAATTCAAGTACATTAATATCAAAATACTCTTTACTTATTTAATCTTTGATATTGGGCGCAGGTTTAACCTTATCTATCC